TCTCGATCAGGAACACTCACATATGAAGCGGTTGCCCAGACAACAGCAGTGGGACTTGGCCAGACACTATGTGTCGGTAAGTTTGTTTTGTAATCGTATATATATATATATATATATATATATATATATATATATTTCCTTTCATTTCCTCCATGTCAATCTGTGTATGTCAGTTGGTCTGTCTTGTTCCCCCTGCCCCTTTTCCTCACTTTCTCTGTCTCTCTCTTTTTTTCTCTTTCTCTCTCACTCTTGCTGTCATTCTCTCCTCCCCCTACCTCTCCTGGTTTTATTCCTTTCTCAGCTCTCTCCATTTTCCACACTTCCTCTTTCCATATACCCCCTCCATCATCAATCACTCCCATTCTTCTATCTTTCTCTCTCTCTGAAGGCAAAAATACACATAATGGATTATATTTCTCTTACATGTCACATTTTAAGATAAAAGTTTCAAGAAACTTAGGTTGATAATTTGAAATCAAAATTAATAGTCCTATCAAATCAACTCTTTCATTAAGTTTATTTTTGGAATATTACAAAGTGTATTTTATCTTAGCAACAGCAAATTTTGGTTTATTTCCACATGGTACTAAGGAATAGTGTTCTAGTTTTGTTCTCACAGATGATTGTCCAACTCTGATTTTATCTGTCCTGTTTGTCTTCCAATGAAGGTATTGGAGGAGATCCTTTCAATGGAACCAATTTCGTAGATTGTTTAGAAATCTTCCTCAATGACCCTGCTACTGAAGGCATCGTTCTTATTGGTGAGATTGGAGGAGGAGCTGAGGAGAAGGCAGCAGAGTTCCTCAAACAGCATAATTCAGTGAGTCCTATGTGCAGTTCACATATGACATGATAAACATGCATGAGAAAACTATTATACATGTGAATGCATGAAAAATGTGGATGAAAAAGAAAATGTAGGAGTAGCTGCCCGCAACTTAGGCCCCTTCACATACTCAGATCCAAAATCCATATTTGAGGTTCATGCTACACCCATGTAATATTATTTTGCCATTATAGGTTGTGTTTTCTTTTATGAAGACTACCATTTCATATTTAAAAGAGGCTTTAGTCAGTAATGATTTCCTGCAAGTTCATGGGGCTAAGGCAACAATAGTTCAGGCATCAAAAAGTTCACCAAATATTTGTTTGTTTTAACTGATCACACATCCGTACACCTTTTATGAGCTTCCTCTTAAATTTGTAGGAGTGTAACTTATACTGCAGAAACATTACATGAACAAGAATGTAATTTACAGATATTTATGTAGTTAAGTCACTTTTCTATTTTTACCACAAGTTCCATAATGAAATAAGACTCAAAAATGACTGTAGATATCCATTTGGCACCTGTCCTACTTGTAGCTACTTGCTCCCTCTATATAGAAAACTTCTCCAATCGGTTCCTGTTGGTCCCCCATGATCCTTTTTTTCTTATGTTAGTTGAGAGCTGAGTTATTGAGATAGCCACCTGTCAGTGACCTTGCTGTGTGGTCTAATCCCTTCTGGCCCAGTAGTATTGACGGTCTTTAAAGGGGAAGTCCTCCCTGAAATTAAGTTAGTTTTAATAGGAGTAGAAAAATGAGAGAAACAAGTCAGTGAAAGTTTGAGCAAATTCCGATTAAAAATAAGGAAGTTAGGATTTTTGAAGTTGTGATCAATCAAACACAAATTGGCAACTCTATGACGTATCATGCGAGCTCAACTTCCATTTGCTCAGTACTAAAAAAATCTAAAATTTTCATTTTCCCTCAAAAAAAATTTCAACCATACATGCACCCTAAATATAATAATTGCAAATATGTTTCTATACTCCCCCTGCAAGGAACAAATATATATTCCGTCATCAATAACGAAGAAAACATGATTTTATGGAATATTATGCACAAAGCAAATGAAGGAGAGCTCGTATAATAAGTCACAGAGTTGCCAATTTGTATTTGATTGATCACAACTTCAATAATTCATAACTTTCTTATTTTCATTCAGAATTTGCTCAAACTTTCACTCACCTGATTTTCTTATTATTCTGCCTCTATCGAAACAAACTTATTTTGGGGGTGGACTTTCCCTTTAAGAGAAGCAAGGTGTATAAAATGCCCTGCTTATGGATATATTATAAGAGCTCAAAACCATTACTTCTGCATTCTCAATATTACACCACTTGATTACTTTTACAATACCTGTCTTAAATAATTGATGTGATTCTGCAGGGTCCTGATGCTAAGCCAGTCGCAGCCTTCATTGCTGGTTTGACTGCCCCACCAGGCAGGAGGATGGGACACGCTGGAGCTATCATCTCTGGAGGTAAAGGTGGAGCTACAGAGAAGATCCAGGCTCTCAAGGATGCAGGTGTCGTTGTTACTATGTCTCCAGCTCAAATGGGAACAACAATACTGAAAGTAAGTTCACCAGTCTACCATTTGTTGACAAGCTTTCAATTGCTCTGGGGATGTGTGGATTTTCTTCAACTGGGTAATTCTTATTTAAAAGATTTAGTATTTAGTAAAAGATTAAAAAGATTCTTTCTTTATGAGTACATCTTTGTGAGAAAAATTATATAGCTGAAAAAGTATTATATTTAAGCGCCATGACCTAGGAGTTACCAGATTTTGTATAACATTTTAATAATAGTACATTGTGTTTATAAGTGCTGCAAATTGTAACCCTCCCAGGAGTATTTTTCGCTTTGAACTGTGTAGCTCTGTCTTTCTTTCATTCTTTCTCTGCCTCATTTCTGATATTAAAGGGCCACACCTTTGAGTGTAATAAAGATAACGGTAACATATCATATGGTCCACAGACATAATAATCTAGCATTTTATTTTGCATCAATGTCCAGAGAATATTTTTTCTGTTTGTCATTTGAATAAGATTATGTCTTTGATTTAGAAGACTGTCAAATTTTGTGGAAATGATTTTTCAGATATTAAGCCATTTGCTTTGTGATTTACGTGTGTAAAAAGATTCTAATCATTCTTTTCCCCCCTTTTTTCAAATTTTCTTCCAGGAAATGGAAAAGATTGGCCAGGCATGAGCAGGGTATACAGGGAGCAGTTTTAAGAACCATCCTCTGAAAACCGTTTTAATGTTGAAAAGGAACAAAATATTCATGTGGGAATTAGATTGTGCCGTTTCTTTTTTCCAAATGTTATCAAATTTTCACCCATGAAAAAAAAGAGATTATATGAGATTTGTCTAGTGGATTTGAAATACTTTGTGTGATTTAGTGATATATATTACTTTACCCCCTTCAATATGGAAAATGATATTTATTTAGGTGCTTTTCAGAATGGCATTCAAGCATAGACCCTATATAATATTCATTGTGTTACAATAATGTTACTGATGTCAGTTCCTATGGATGAAGGCTTTTCATTATATCAATATCTGGAGCAGGTCTAAAACATTTTCTCTGGTTTGCTACTTGTGTTCATGCAAACTTGGGATTTTAAGCATTGACATTGTATTCAAAGCTTGTACTTGTGAAGCTGCCAGCAATAAAAGGCTATTGTTAAGAGGGAAAATTTGTCAATTAACTCATTCTTGATAATCTAGTATATTATTTTACCTTTTACAGTCAAGATTACGAACTGAGTCTCACCTCTTTCACAGCTTTAGGGGGATGATATGTGATTAATCTTAATATGATGATGTGAGGAAACTTTATTTTCTTTTCAATTAAATACTCATTCTGTAGCATTCCACAAAGCTTAACTGAAAGCAATCAGTGATATTGAGGCCATGACGTTTTACTTGTATATCAGTCATTGCCTTCTGTTGAGAAATCAAGTCAGTTGAAAGTTACATACTCTGAAAATGAAGACCGTACTAACATTACTTGAAATTTAACCACAGTAATCAAATTGAAATGCAACAAAGTCTTAAATTTAGGATGGTTACTGTAAAGATGTACAGGATATATTACTACTGCGCTCCAGAGGAATTTGCTTTTTTTCCAAGCATATAAACAGCAACTAGGAGAGGAGACATAGTTCAGAAAATTTAGATATTTTCCCATTTTATGGTTGAATAAATTTATTGTTCCAATGTAAATGTTGCACTTTGTTTTGCCCTGGTTATATGTATAATTATAAATAGTTTATACAGAATTATTCTAGTTTATCGATCTCGAGAGAGAGAGAGAGAGAGAGGGGTAGGAAGAGAGAGAGAGAGAGAGAGAGAGAGAGAGAGTGGGAGAGTGGGAGAGAGAGAGATAGGAAGAGATGAAGAGAGAGACAGACAGACAGAGAGATGAAGAGAGAGAGAGAGAGAGAGAGAGAGGAGTAGAGAGAGATGGAGGGAAAGAAAAAGAGATGTAGAAAGGCAGAGAAGTGAAATATTGGAAAAAAAGAGAGAAAGCATAATGAAGAGAGATTGACGGGAAGAATGGCAGGAAAAGATTGGATACAAAATAGAAATATAAAGAGAGCAATGCACCGGTATGGGGTTCTTAAAATGTTGTCTGTGACCAAAGGAGGATGTAAATGCCATGTTTAGCATTGCTGAAGATATACTTATATTCTTTAATTCTTTAATACAGACATGAAGGCTTGTGGGAAATGGAAAGCTGAAAAAGAAGGGGACAAAATCAGCAATTTCGCCATACCATGAGAGTTTGAGCATTTTACAAACCGGTACATGAAACAAAGAGCTTCTTTATCAAAGGATTTTCACACCTTTCTGTTGTGTGCACCATCACCTGCTGTCACAACACATCCCATCCCGGCCCAGTATAGCTTAGAAAAACTGCTTCGGGATTATCTCATCAAGGTTATCAATGAATTACACACAAAATATTTTACTTTGAAAACATTGGATTTGAAGATCATGAAGATATCGGCAGGAATTATGATTGAGCCTAGGTAATTACCATTGGCAAGCTTATAACTTTACCAGTTTGATTTACAAGCTTGCAGATCATGAAAAGGGGGTGTGTCCGTCTTGTCCGAGTACAAGCCTGCCTCGTCTCTTAAATGTATCACGTGTGGTATATTGCATTGAATTTAACCAGTACTAGCGTCGAGCGATCGAGGAGCAGTCAGAATGCAAAGGATTGCGATCTCAACCATCCGAAAAATGTCTTCCAACACAGAACCGCTTAACAACTTTGCAAATTTTGGAAAGAAGATAGTTTGTATCGGCAGGAATTATGCGTGAGTCGAGTATGATCGTATTTAGAGAGATCTCAAAACGTCTTTCGTCATTGCCAAGTCCCGTATATTGAAAGAAATGTTGGTTGCTGTTGTAGTGCATGTATTAAGGTCGCGATTGCAAACTTTATATAAATTATAACCTCGTAATACTAATCATGATAATAGTCTACTATTAATGAGTAATTCTAATTAAACGATGTATTTTGTATAATGTAAAGTAGCTGACAGACTTGTACATGAATCAATGCGCCAAGCTCTAGTTGGATATTAATTGAATAATTCACTAACAATAAAGTCTAGACTTTTCAATGAGGAAAATTGAAGCTGAGAAATTGAAATTATATATGTGCTGACAAATAACGGGGGAATAATTAAAAAAAAACACCTGTACCAGAATATACCAGTTGAAAAAACTATTTTATTTATACAAAACTTTCATCCCAGAAAAGCAAAACCTATTTATGCAATTTGAAAGGTCCGATACAACAATGTTATTCTTGTCAATTATCTTTCAGTGAGCATGCAGCGGAGTTGGGGAATAAGGTTCCTACCAAGCCTATGATTTTCTTAAAACCAACATCAGCTTATCTCCAAGAAGGACAAGGCAACATAAAGGTATGCCATGATTTGGATGTACTTATTAAGGCTCATAAGGCTTTAAAGGTAAAGACCAGTTTTGGAGACGCCCCCCTCTCAAAAAATGAAATGGAAGCTCTTATTACCAATCATGTGAAAGAACATGTTTTGACTAATACGTAATGATACAAATTTTTACCGCCTACTAATAGATATATTTGGTAAAATATATATCTATTTGGACCTGATAGATATCGCACGTGTCGCGTAGTCCCATATACATTTTTCTGTGTACAGTGCTTGTAACTTTACCAAGACTGGGCCAGATTACTTATCATTTTGATGATTCCAGTACACACCAATACTTATATGCTAGATGATCAACCTTTTCTGATCGATTCCACAACTTTCTTTCACAATGCAAGAGCATGACCATAACTGGTCTTTATCTTTAATATCATTGGTGGGGTGACAAAACCTTTTATCTCAATTTTTTGAGATTTTGATTTTTTTGCATAATTTTGTACCTAATGGCCTACAACACCACCTGATAAATCCATGGAACACCTCCTTCTCGGTTTTTTCACAAATTCCACACAAACACCCTTAAACTAAACCTCGTAACTTTAACCCCCTTTGAAGCTGCACTGACAAAACCTCATAACATACGTAATTCCTTTTCCCCATAACTTGCACACGGTTTAACAGTACCGAAGTTAGTGTATTCAAATCCTTGTAACTTATTCAACCAAAACCTCATAACTCATTCAGAATTGAAAGTAAGAACTTGTATCTCAATTTGAATAAAAACTAAAAACTTGTATCTCAATGTAGATAAACGCAAAAACCTCATAACTCACTTTCAAATATAAAAACAATTATTTTACTGTATTTCAACAATGACATTAAAAATTGTATAAACATTCCAGTTTTAAAAAGAAAGGACGGTGTCACAGCACTAAATTTGTTGAGACAGGAAAGTTTTTTCGCTCTCCTGAAAATTCATGATTTTTGAGATACGAGGTTTTGTCACCCCACCGACGATATACTGGCAGAGTAATGTTACAATGACAACATCAATTCAGATGGCTACCAAATGTGAATAATTTTTTTTTGTATTGCGATTCTAATGGTGATGGGCTAATCTTCATCCCTTTCTTTTTTCTTTCTGGTTAATGTGTGTGATGCTGGTGATATACAACAAAGAGTAAGTCCACTGCGTTCAAATGTGAAAGGGGTGGTTTATTATTATTTTCATAATGATCATGATATCATGAATGATAAAGATCAGATGCTTAATCATAGGTAAACTGGGTTAGAGTATAGAGTAGTCTGAGTATTAAAGGGCCCATGACATTGAAATACAAGTGTATTCCTGTTGATGTGCAGTCCTGCATACATCTCGTATTTTGATATGTAAACTTCTGAATTGTTTCATAGATTTTTAAATATTTTTTGAAATATTTGTTTTTTAAACTTGCTAAGCTCCACCCCCAAAACCTCCAGATCTTATTCCCCTTCATCTGTCAGTCATCAATGAGCTAACTTGAGAAAGTGGTATGTATCTTTGCCGAAGTCTACCACCTGTTACAATACGTAATACAATGGCAACATACAAGTTGCTATGTCAGACATGCTGTAGCATCACCAGGAAGACCAAAGGCAATGATGATGTAATGTATCCATTTGTTCTCTCTTTGCACATAGCTACCTCCAAACTGCACAGAGATACACCATGAAGTAGAGCTAGGTATTGTCATTGGAAAATCAGGCAGCAATATCCTAGAATCCTCTGCCATGGAGCATGTTGGTGGGTACACCCTCGCCCTGGATATGACCGAAAGGAAACTACAAAGTGACCTCAAGTCCAAAGGCCATCCTTGGAGCCTGGCGAAGGGTTTTGACACATCTTGTCCGGTAGGCGGTTTCCTGGACGCATCAAGGATCGACAACGTTGATGATGTAAGGCTATGGTTAAAGGTCAATGGAGAAACAAAGCAGGATGGGAATACTAAAGACATGATATTCCGTGTGCCAACCTTGCTGAGTTTCATCAGTCAGTACATGACGCTGGAGGTCGGTGACCTCGTACTGACTGGGACTCCCTCTGGAGTTGGACCAGTTAGAAGCAAGGATGTTATTGTTGCAGGACTCAATGATGATTTGTTACAGATTGAATTCAGTGTAGAGTGATTGATTTTCAAAGCTCTTATAATAAGTAGACTGTTACTGATTTACATATTATTGATCACATTTTTGAAATGTTACCTCTGATTATCATCTCTAGAATTTTCATACCCATTGGCTTGTCCAGGACCATTATGTGATTTGACATTCAAAGTCAAAAAGAGCTATTCAGAAGAATTATTCATTTTGGTAGCTTTCTCAGGTTTCAAATGTTTTATGCTGCATTCAAAAATGCAGGTATCGAATGCAAGATTTTATCTTTGGTCCAAATACACATCTGCCAAGTTGTCCTATCTAAATCTCTTATCTAAATCTCTTAGATAGTTTGCTGAAATTTATGTTATCTCTGATTTTATCTTTGTGACGTTTTTTTCTCATTTAAGAATATCCATTAACTTGTCAAATTAAAATAAATTGATTAGAGAGTATTTAGGGTTTAATAGGGGCCATATTTCTCTGTCTGTGACAAGTCTGGACAACAAAGAAATTTCAATCAATACAAGAAGCATGTCTTTATCTTTACATTTCATATATCGTTTTATTGCTATATATTATATACATACACAAATACAATGTTTTACATATCATTTCACATTAATGAATAATCTATCAAATGGATATGACAAGTGCACTTTCTCTTCTCTATACCATGTATATCTCTGTCATTTTTTATGATTAATGATACATAAATGATGTATGCAGCTGAGTTCATTATACGATCCATCCGCACTCGAGATGAGACTGTATGCATCTCTTGTACAAAGCGGACAAGGCCGTGTTTGATAGGTGCATAAACAAACTCAACAAGAGTGAATAGATCCTGTAATGATTGCATAAAAACATGCATCATTTGTATTATTATACAAATTTTTTTTTCCAGATCCTTGTGATTTGATTGTTTTGTGTGATAATTGATGACGAATAAATCCTGGTCGACCAATCATTTGATTAGGATCCAGGAGAAATCTAGAAATGGAAATTGAGTTTATCTTGCTAGTTGATACAGTACGTGCCTTAAATTCTGTTGAAAGAGTTTACATTTTGAATACCGATATTGATGAAAATTGTACAAATATTTTCTGCTGAAATGCTATAATATACTTTTTAATTCTGAAAACCACCTGACATTGTAATTCTTTTTGTTTCAGTGTGTTTTAAATTTCTTTTAAACAAATGTGATTGAGCACACTTTAGGAGCACACTCTGGTGATGATGGTTTCTTGTATAGCACAGGTACACGCCTCTGCTGGGAACTCATGGCATTTGCTCTACGGTGTCTTACAAACTTCATCTCAAATCACAAATTTAGCATTCTTGGTCACTGTGTCAAATTGAGATTATTATCCATTAGCCTTACTAATGGAAAGCGGTTAACCGTTACTCTACAACATCTTTTTTTTCCCTCCAGTTTTTGTGTCATTTCTCTCCAAATCCATGATTAGCTTTTTGTTTCACCATCCCTATATTTCCATTATTAAATACTATGGCAAGAGAGTGCAGGGGTGATACTTTGGAAGACAATCACATCAAAACATCTGTACCACAAATTACTTAGAACATATTACGTTTGATGTATTAGATGTAAAATGTATGGTTTGACCAGCTCAAATGCCATTGCCTTCAGATACAATCAGAGGAAATTGAAAGATGATGAAGGAATAGAAATCATTCAGCCCACTTAATGCCTAATCAGACAGGAGGCTGAAAACATGGTGGCGAAATGAAATTACACACATATTGATGAGCACACAGGCCACAATTCACAAAGGAGGCTGGTATTCAAACCACAATTTAAATCATGCTTTCATGGTTTAAACCTCAGTCAAACTAAAATAGGCAAATACAAGTGTATCCTGATCAGTCATTGGGCATTACAATTTCAACCATGGTTTGCATTTCAGTCTGCTTCTTGCATTCTGGCATAGGAGCTGTTGCTCCATACAAATATATTTTATTTTACCTCCAAAATATTACCCATTTCCATCAAACTAAACTTAATATTGCTGCTGCATCTTGTTTCTTTGTCTGGAAGACTTTCAACTTTTACTACTGAATTGGTTTTTCATCTCTCAATGGGCAGTTTATGTTTTGTTTTTGATTGATGTGAGGGATACAAATCAACTTTGTAATGAGAAGACAAAATCTGCAAGCAGGCCATCAATTGCAGGAATGTTGTTCAGTAGTAAACAATACATCATGATAGTAAAAATATTCAATACAGAATTCAATATAAAATAGGTTTATTTTGTTCTTAATATTTTTGCATACACCATACCAACACAGGCAAGCACAAATGAGTAAAAAAAAAACAAGATAAAAAGTATATCCCTTGCATACAATACTGAGAGAGCACACAACTATTATCGCCACATTTTGCAAAGCAATTATGCCTTGATGCATAGTCTACCTCCTTGCTCGAACAAGGGAACGAAAAGATTGTCCAGAATTTGTCTAATAATGCTGACATCAGATGCTTTATAAAGAGATTGTCCACACACATGCACTTTTGGCAATTGCTGAAGCATCCAAACTCCTAGGCTGCAGTGGGTTGCCTCTGCGGAAAGTTTGAATAGTCACATAGTATAGTTTCGAAACTTATTTGACGTAGGCTTTGTATGAATACTTCCAAGGGTTAGGTTTAAGGTGGGGCTCTTTACTTGAAACAAGCACCTGTGTAGGGGTACCATAGGGTACCTTGGGTGGTTCAAATGTATGTGTGGTGGAGGTAGGGAGGTCTATTACCCCTTGTTGGGGTTCAGAGTAGGTTCGAGGGAATCTCCTGGTGGTAGGTGGGTTCTTGGTAGGGTTGCCTTGGTATTCAGCTCGATAGTCCGTCTTGTAACACCGATCTGATGACTTCCAGGTGACGAAGTCTTCGGAGTTGTGCTGCCTTTTGGATCCATTCTCCACTTGCTTACCAAGGCCCTGTGGGGGTATTAGAAGTGAATACAAAATAAATATATATATTTTTATATGCTGCTTATAAGTATCGGCTTGCATGGTGACGTAGATATTCAGTAGGCTTACATTTATACCATGTGAGAGAGGGGAGGATTGGGGAGTCCTAAAAAGGACTGTCGGTATCTTTCTTTCTTGAGTGTGTGTGTAGTCCTAAAAAGGACTGTTGGTGGTCTTTTTCAACATTCTTTTTCAAGACTACCAACAGTCCTTTTCAGGACTACACACACACTCGAGAAAGAAATATTACAGACAGTCCTCCCCCTCTCTCTCACATGGTGCAACTGTAAACCTACTGTATATATTTGTCTAGTTCAGCAGTTATTATTAAACTATTTCAGTACTTAGGCAGAAATAGCACGAGGCAAAAGTTGAATTGAATGTGAGGTGTTTTGTTTTCTCTCTCATTTCTTTTAATAAAAGTTCATTACATTTACAATATGACGTTTGCCTGTGAAGGATAACATTGTAAGGGACCAATGACATTCTATAACTGCATAATATTATTGAGTTGGCCAAGTAACAGGGAAGCATCAGATTCATATCATCAGACATAATTTAATCTAAGACATGCTTGTTCTCTAAGTGTAGTTTCATTTTCACTACTTTGTATGCAATATGTAATTAATTTCCTTTCTAGGTCAGTTTGGAGTCCAAGCCGCCCAAAATTATATTCCATACTTGCATACTCTACAGCACATTTTTCACAATTTATCTAGAGTTTTTCATTGCTGTCTCCTTTACAATTTTATACTGGTAGGAAAAATTAACCTATTTTCTCATCACATGAAATAAATGTAGTGTATGAGTAGAATGTAGTGCATACTTACATGCCCAAAATATACGCCATGGTCCTGGAAAGAGTTTCTATTGTCATGCATGGAAAATGGGTTGGAATGTATGTAGGTCTTCTGTGAAATATAAAAAATAAATAAATATGAGGTTACAGGTTACAAGGCACAATTGGTTTCATAAACAAAATAAAGTAGGATATTGATGTAGTGGAAATGACTTAGTCATATTATAGAAGTATCATTCAATATATACAATGTCAGTTGCTTAACAATATTTCAAAAAATCAAAACACCAGGAAATTGATTTTCATATTTTGTTTTAAAATTTAAAAAAACAAAATCATTTTTAGAAATAGTTTTGAAGATCACTTCACAAATTGGCAACTCTGATTTCAGTTGTGCTCTATCCTTCACTTTTTGTGTCCAATAAATGGTATGCACAAACAGTACAAATGAATTTTGTCACTTTCCAATTTTTCCACAAAAAAAATACATTTTTATAAATCTGTGCCCCAATTGAACTACTGGAAACTGTAGGTCGATATCTCTACAATAAATCAACTCTATTTTTCTAACTAAACTTCGGTCTTTCATTGGTAAAGACAGGAATTTGACCTACCTCTGCTAACTCATTGTATGTTGGTGGGGGAGGTTGAGGTTTGGAAGAGCCTTCTGGGTTGAACTTGGTACTCAGCATGAGACCTGTAGTAGTACCTGTGTTCCTCATTTCTCCCTTGGTTGACCAGCCTCGAGTTTGGAACTGAAAGGAGCAAAAGATTTTATTGTAATCAGGATAATATACGACAATGTGGCACATTTTCTTTTTTCCCCTCAAATATTTCCTAGTTTAACCCTCTGGATGCTACTTACTAGGCCCGAGATAACTCGGACAGGAGTCCATGAAACTATGTGTCACACTCATCCATATGTTTTTAACTTTTTTTTCTTCCAGAAATGCAATTCAGCTATCCTACACATATGGACCTAGCCTATGGGTCATTTGCACTGCTTTGCATTTTGTTTACCTTTACCTTTACCGCAAATACTGGAAGAATGCTGAGACAGCAGTCGAGCTTTCAGGTCTATCTTCTTGGTCTATCTTCTTGTACTCATACTCTTTAATAATAATTCTCATTATATGCAAGGGAGGCAGAGGGGCAAGAGGTTGCATCTTGACTGGACAATGTACAATGTCCCAGGAGCATGAAAGAAACTTAAAACATTATTTCAAAGATTTTTATTCAAAATTAATTTTGAAATGAAAGAAAATAATATAATGGCATTATAAAGATACATCAGTTACGCAAAATTTGCTAAACTACATTTTTATCTAAAATTCATGAGGGTTTTTCTTTCTTCAAAAAACGATATGCATTATTTGCTCAACTTTGAAAATATATTACATACAAGTTACAACATAGTTGTTTAATTAAAACAAAATTTGTAATCATAAAACTCACCCAAATTCCGTCCTCTGCTGCAGAAGGAGCATGAGCTCTTGACTTCGGCATGATTATTTGTGCCTTGTACCGTAAATCCTCTTTGAATATATCTGTCACAAAGTTCAGTCCTGTGGCATTAATGAAAGAGATTTGAATTAAATTACAAAACACATTGCAGATCTACATGTAAGTAAAGTAAAGTTGTCACATTTGCTGTTTGCTTTTACAAAAAATAAGCAAATAACATAAACACGATGCATTATTCATCCTTTACGATATTTCATCCTTTACGATATTGTCCAACATAATATGGAATATTGCATGTAACTTCTTTGAATCGCTGTTTTCAATCATCTGTCCTGATACACGACCTGTCTGCTTTGGACACACAACGTTTGGGTATACTTGTACTTTAGGATTGGCATACTGTATAACTACAAAAGTATAATATCTACTTGATTTTGTGTCACATTCAATCATATGACAAGTTATGACGGTTATCCCCTTCTCTTTGCAATATGGGCAGCTGAATCCATGAGTGTATTGGATTCACATGAATTCACCAAATTACCATATTGCTTAGTGTATGCATTCTTCAATTTGTTTCGTGGGATTGAAATATACCTGCGTAAAAGTTAAACAAGAATAGACATTTTGCAGGCAACAAAATTATTTCATATTGTTCTTCTTGTTAAAAAAAAAGGTAGGATTTAATAATATAATGAAAACATGATCAACAGATGTAATTGCCAGTAAAAAAAAATCATTGTGTCATTTAGTAATTCACTTCTGTCTTGATCATGTAAATTGTAGTGTATTTGTGACAGGAACAAAATATTTCATGTATTAATAAGCATTAAGAATTCAAGTTGGCCCTGGAAGCCAGCAGCGAGATCGAGACGCACCTGTAGTGCGGAAGAACTACCCGCAATTCACCTGCTACATGTACAGGCAGCAGGTGCATGACTCGTTCCCGGCCCCGATCCCGAATTCTTTGGTGTCAACGACTTTAATAGATACAACTTTTCTCAAGACGAAATAATGGTTCTACAATCAATTTCAAAGATGGTAATTTACTTACAATTCTGTTTGGATATTTCCACTCTCTGTGAAGGTACAGTGCCAAGAAGATGATCTTAAGTTCAATGTTTTTCTTCACGCGCCGTATAAATAGTGCACACAAGAATAGTATACATGTTAACCACACTTCGGTAACTATGGGTAGCGCAAGCGCCCTCCCTCCTTGGTTACGTGTACACACAAAATAAAAAGTTCGCAGGTTGTGCTTTGTGACCTCATGCTTGAGTGCACGTCGGCGTTTCTGTTTGTTGTCTGTTCGCGGAGTTATGAAAGTTTAGATACTTTTTATTCATGCATCGCGCGCAATATACAGCAAATTATTTTCCTCCTGTTTTCTCATTCTCTTTCTCTTCTCGCCGGTAATTTGTGCGTTTTGGTTAACTTTATTTGAACTCCAGTCCACCTCTCCTACCCTCCCACCCCTCCCTTCCCCTGCCCACCTCCCCTCCCCCTCCCTTCCCCTCAGGGACGTAACCAGAGTTTGATGTTTGGGGGGGGGGGCACGTATTGTAATTGATCGACGTCCTGGGGAGGGGTCTAAAAAAGTTAAACCGATCTTGGAAATTTTGGGGGCACGTGCCCCCCCCCCCCCCCCCGTGGCTACGGGCCTGCTCTCCCTCCCTTCCCCACCCCCTCCCTTCCCCCTTCTTCGTGGAAAAGGAAAATGCACCATGCTATTTCGTCCAAATATAAGAACATTTTATATAGCACCCCACTTCTCAAATGGTGACAAAGGAGTATATCGCCACCTTGCGCTCGGAATACATCAAAATTCTGGGCCTGTGCTGAGATCAACTTGTTTCATTAAATTCATGTCATTTTCTAGTTAAAAATTGCTATTTTCTTTTGATTAATTTGTATACGACCAGAAATATCGCCAAGAAAAGGCAAAATATCTAAATTGATCATGAAAAATTAAACACGACCTATCACATGTCATATATATGAAAATTAGGAAATAAGAGAAAAGGGTGTTTCCATATAAAGGCCTATATGAAAATATGCTAATAACAAGAACAACAAAATGTATGCGAAGTAGGCATATTATTACATGTAATTATCCTCCATTCTTAGAACCAAAAATAAAACTGATGTTGAAAGGTTTTTTTTGTTAATGCCATAGTATTATAGCTAGATGGGCCTTTCTTCATCCCCATAACTCGACAAAAGGATGTTGAAGGTTTTAATACTCCTGATGCTTTATGTTATTTCCCAAACTTTCTGACAATAATATCGTTAACGAGAAGGAGATCTCGGAGAGAGAGAGTCGGAGAGAGATGTTATCTTCTTTAGCCTTGTGATGGGTAATGCCCCTACTCCGTCCCTGCATGGGTGATTATGTAAATTATCAATACTATTTATCATGAACTAAAAGTACAAGTTGTTGAGGCAGATTTCAGCCGCCGCTGCAAAAATTTCATTCGATACAAATCCATTAATTTCATAAAAAAATCATATGAGTAAAATATATTCCTCAAGGAGTGTTAAGGATCTAACACCCTTAAAAGCCAATGGCTTGATAAAAGAGGGGGATTCATAACAGCCAATAGACAATTAACACAGTGATGAAACAAATAATACACTCTTATTTCCACGGAGTCAAATTTCACTCTAAATGGCGTCAGCTGGGAGTCAACTCTATTCCTAGTTAAAGTGACACGGATTCCGAATCAATTTGACTCGGATTGTGTGGCATCAGCTGAGAATTGACTCAATTCAGAGTCAAGATGACTCCTTATATATCCGTGTCACTTTAACTAGGAATAGAGTTGACTCCCATGCAGCTGACGCCATTCAGAGTGAAATTTGACTCCGTGGAAATAAGAGTGTATAGCGAGAACATTAGAAAGCAAATGGGATCTCCTGTCCTCAAATGATTTGGAAGACCCCATTTCCATTGTATTGGTGGCAAAGTTAATTGGGAAAGAAAAAGGCCCCCCTTTTTTGTGGGGGGGGGGGGGTATTTTTTTCCACGGAGTCAAATTTCACTCTAAATGGCGTCAGCTGTGAGTCAACTCTATTCCTAGTTAAAGTGACACGGATTCAGAGTCAAGATGACTCCTTTTCCGTGTCACTTTAACTAGGAATAGAGTGTATACTATAGTTGTTTTTTTTCAATATCCGCTTCTTTGATTTGGAATACCTTGCACACAATGCTATACAAATCGAGCTAGATTTCTGTTATTTAAAGTGACTAAGTAACATTGTTGAAGGTTGATGAAAAAAATGTTACTTATTATATTCCTTCTACTGTAGGCCTACACTCCGTATTTCCACGGAGTCAAATTTCACTCTAAATGGCGTCAGCTGGGAGTCAACTCTATTCCTAGTTAAAGTGACACGGATTCCGAATCAATTTGACTCGGATTGTGTGGCATCAGCTGAGAATTGACTCAATGCAGAGTCAAGATGACTCCTTTTCCGTGTCACTTTAACTAGGAATAGAGTTGACTCCCAGCTGACGCCATTCAGAGTGAAATTTGACTCCGTGGAAATAAGAGTTTTTTTAGGGTTAGTATAATTTTTACTAACCCTAAAAAAACATGCCCAAAATCCTGAAAAAATTCTCAGGCTACAAAGATATTTATGGTTTTCTTTAAAGGCGTCACTGTGCAACACCCTCTAACAATTATTCTCCGAACCATTTTTGAATTTTCCCAAAGCTGTTTTTTCCATGAAAATAAGACATAAGACGGGCTTTAAAAAATCTTTCAACACACAAAATCTGGAAAAGTTTCCCCCCGAATTTGTATCATTACGTTTTCACTCAAACTGTCAGATTATATTTAATTGTACATCAAGCATTGAAGTCACTACCTTACCACCATTTTCTCTCATCTGAACATTGTTACCAGGTCCCTGTACCCTAAGAAAACGGTTTAATTAAAGAATTATAAACATGAATAATAACGATGGTTATCATTTTAATTTGCAAATAGGCCTAAACGACTTTTGTCATGTCCGAAAACGGCTTATAGAATGCAATCCATGCACATGTGTGGATCGCGGAGTACTTTTGACAATTAACAAGAGGGAAAACGAGGGGAAAATATTCTCTAACCAAGGAAAAGAAGAGAGAGAGAGAGAGAGAGCACCCTTGCGTGAAGCAGGTTTTGGCAGAGTGGGGCATTATACAGTGAGGGGTAATTGTACCTTCCCCCTCCCCCGTCATGTTACAGGTTTATGTCGAAAAGCTAAGAGAGAAAAGGCGTCCTGACGTCTTGATCTTGTCACCGATCCCATATTAGAACATGATCTCGATTCGCCTTTCTTAATGTCGTCCTTCTGTAAAATCTTCTTTGCGAATCCCTACAATATTTCACACTCCATGATTGACGCGACGCGATTAGGTTTGTCCAGTGATCAATGGGGCTTGGCAAAGCTCTTACTTTCGACCAATCAGATTGGAGTCCCTCAAACTTTTTGCACTTAACTTTATGCAAATCCTGAACTAGCTTAGCGCTATGCGCTAGCGTATCGCGCATGTAACCCGCTTTCTTTTTTTGTTTTCTAATTTTTTCGATAGCATCGTTTAAGGATATCGATTTTTAGGACTCTGTCGTGTTAATTAGTTCAACTAGCTAAATGTTTAATTGGTCATGCGATAGCTGTGCCAGTCAATTATCTCGATGCAGTATTACAATTTCAGCCAGGCGTACGTGCGCTTGTAGTACACAATTTACGCGCTGACGCAGTGCACTGAATTAATTATGCGCAGGCTAGGTTTACACACGATCCGCCGTTCTCTGATAATGATTTTAACGTGAATTTCTATCAACGTTTGCTTCCAATATGTGACAGAATGACCGGTATTGTGCGAGTATTCTTGAAAAACTAAACGAGTGCAATCTTTTCATTATCCCTATTAACTATGACTTGAAGCCTGTGGCAATTTTACCTGCTGTTTATTCCAATTTGGACGTAGAGTACGACGAGAATTTCGCGGACCTCGAACTTCCACCGAGTTGCTCGGCAAATCATCACGGAGGCCTCTCCCGCATCGGTGCTAGTGTGATGAGCCTGTAACCGTACGATGCACTGATACCAAGCGAGCCGGTATCCGAGACCTCTTATCACACACAGACAGAAACAAATTTGGGATGCAGATGTGACACTCTGTTCGGTTTTAACGTGACAGCTGCTCCTGGAGCCAATTGATGTGACTGACAAAGTGTGCAACATTACCGATCATCTTACAATTACAAGGTTAGGACTTAGTTAGGTCATCGTCGAGAGAGACACATCACACTTCACAATTTGTTTTGGTTGGGTGACCAAACTCCAAAGTAAATTAATGTCCATGTCGTACTCGTAGATTGGTCGCAAGGGAACAATCATCAACACTTTTGCTGTATTTTTTAAATTCCACGCTGTAGATCTAGGTCTACTTTTTACTCTATGAAGTATGAGTCTATGATACAAAGTTAAAATATTGGCTTCAATAATTACTCCCAAGAATATATTGGCAAAGTAGACTAGTCTACATTAGTTTGAGTGAAAAGAAGAGTAGGTCTAGATTATTGATACTAGGGTCTAGATTCTAGATCTAGATTATGATTCATTGAATGATCTAGACGGTGACTTAATAGTTCAAGTAGAAGTTCAAGTAGAACTTTGTAGTATTTTGTAGATCTAGAAAAAGTAGCAGTTAGACTAGACCCTAGGGATTAAGTTAGGGTCTATAGTCTAGTCTACTAGAACTAGTAGAACTAGACTCTAGAAAATCTAGGTAGGCCTAAAAGAAAGTTAGATCTAACTTTAGTCTTTACTGTCTTTATTCTTTTATTTAGACAGAAATAACCATCTTATTCTTAATCTTAGTGGTATGGCTATGGGGAATTCTTTATTAAAGGTAAAGACCAGTTTTGGAAATGCCCCCCTCTCAAAAAATGAAATGGAAGCTCTTATCAGTTATTACCAATCATGTGAAAGAATATGTTTTGACTAATACATGATGATAACAATTTTGCCGGTAAACCGCCTACTAGATCTAGTACTAGACCTAATTGATATATTTGGTAAATTAGTTTATCTATTGGGACCAAATTAATATGCATGTGTCGCGCAGGTGGGCCAAATTTCTTATCATTTTGATGATTCCAGAACCTTGCAGTACACACCAATATGCTAGATGATCAACCTTTTCTGATCGATTCCAGAACGCTTC